ACTGACAAAATTACCAGCTGCCAGCTGCAGAAGGCCACCTTACTGGGATCTGCACACATTATTTGCCAATACATCACACAGTCCAAGACACTTGGGAGGTGTCTGACATGTGATCCAATACAACAGCCAGCAGTGATCTTGTCTGCTGTGGACTCATCTTGCTGTGTTTCAAATAAATAATAATAATAATAATAATAATAATAATAATAATAATAATAATAATATATTTTCTTATTCGCCTCTCCTCATGGCTTGAGGCAGTGTAAAACATTGCTAAAAACACATATTCATTTTAAACATTCTATAAAATACATGTATTAAAATGTATTTCTACAAAATACATATTAAACAAAGAACAGAACAAAGATTAAAACATAAGATGCAAATTTAAAATACATGATTAAAACTGACTGGGTAGGCCTGCTGGAAGCAAAAGGTGTTTTCCAATTCCGGAAGCCCATTTAGCTGTCAGACCTCTTCCAGCAGGTCATTCACAGTCTTGGGGTAGCCAATGAAAAAGTCTTCTGGGTGATAGTAGCCAGTCAGTTTCCGGCAGGCTGGAGTAGCTTCCTCTCCCCCCCCCCCCGAGTACCTAAGTATTCAGGGTGGATTGTACAGTAGAAGTGCAAAAGCATAACATAATAGCCATGTTTAAATATTTTCATATTGAGGGAGGGGGGATCAAGGTTATTTCTTCTGCTTCAAAGATTAAGACACAGAACGATGAATTCAAACTACAGCAAAAGTGATTCCACCTAAACACCGAGGGGGGTGGTGGTCTTGACTCAAAGAGCTGTTCAACAGTCGAATATGCTTGCAGTATTGAATGTGTCTTTATTATTTTGACTGTGCATTTTCATGTGGAGCAAGGGTATTAGTCACTCATATATAGAATTATGGTGTATAAATCAAATCAACAATAAAAAATGTAATAATAACTGACTAGCTGAGGCTAAATTAATCATGAGGCATGGGGGAGGGGAGAAAGGCATATAAGCAAAAGGAATTCTTCTTCCATCCAAATAATGGCAATAGGATTGGTAGGTCAAAGCCACAGCTTTATTCAATATTGGAGATATTTAGTGTTACATCCAATGTAATTTTTGAAGACAGAAATTACTTATGGGAAGCCAGTCCGGTTGAGTCCACCTAACTGTCTTGTTTCCAGTGTTGGAAACCATGGTTCATCTTAGCCTGATTCCTGAAGGGGTCAGAGGTCTCCAAATAATTTTCTCAGGTGATTTTGGTTAGCACTCTTGTGTGAGAGTGGGTTCTCCTAGGACATGAACCCATTCCACATTTCTCTCAAGCCAGTCAGCCGTGATAGGGAAATTGATACATTCTTTCAATGTGTAGTGCTTCTGGAAATCTCTGAAGAGAACAAATCCAAATTAAATGTCCCTATCCTGCCAATTGTGATAAGCAAGCAAACATGGAATAAAAGCCAGTCAACCAGATAATGAATTGAATCAATTCAATGAATAATAAAAACAAAATTATACATAGCATCATGAGAAGGCATAATAATAATAATAATAATAATAATAATAATAATAATAATAATAATTCCAATGGGCAATCAAGGCACAGGAAGGCACAGCAAAAATCCTATTTATTCCTAAAAGATTATTCGGAATATCATACTATGTATAAAGCAACCAACAAATACAGATACATCAACCAACAAAAGGCCTCATCCAGGCTTGAGAAGGCTTAAGTGGCCTAGTGTTGTCCTGTACCAAACACAAGCATCTGCCATTATACTTCTTCTATATAGTGGGGAGAACAAAACAACTCCCATCAAATAGCTAACTGACTATGTTTGGAGACTCAGAAATATGACAGTTGTGAATATCCAGTTCTTGTTCAGTGGTACTGTGGAAAAAGAGGGAAGCTAAATTAGTATCTATCAAACTCCTCCTTGTTTTCACTGGTGGTGAACTGGTGGTGAACCACAGGTATAAAAAACTAAAAAATCTATTGTGAACCACCTAAATCCTTTAGAAAAAGTTGGTACTGCAAATGAGCATGGGGATTAAAGAAGAAACAAACAGGAATAAAAATAGGAGCCTTAACACGATCCTTTTCTAGTACCATGAGTGACTGAACTAAATCACTGAGCAACTCTTCACAGATCTAATTAAAAGACAGAGCTAATCTCCTACTACTCACACAAGCATTACATTGTGTACTACTCACACAAGTAAGCAAAATGCATGAATACTAACACATGAATAGAAATGACATCCACATATTTTTTCAAGGATGGTGTTAAATGCTTTTTACAGTTGAAACTGGGGTGTAGGAAAGTTCCTAAGGCAAAGAAAGAACTTGTTAAGGGAAATAAAGAACTTGCAAAAAAAACGGCTTTCACTTTAGAAGGCAATTGGTTAGAACCAAATGTTCTTGAATGAAAACTAAAGAGACTCTGGTAAAGTCTCAGGCTCCATGAAAAAATGATTTCAGACATCAACCACTCAGAGTCCCTTGGGGAGAGAGGGTGGTCTATAAATAAAGTATCATCATAACCACCACCATCATCATTTATCAATACAAAGTCAGTAAGTCAACAAGGGATGACAAGAACTTTAAAGCATTAAACAAATATGGGCGTCTAAGCAAAAAATAAAATAATGGGTGCATGTGTAAAATCTGTTCTCTATCTAATTTCACCTTATGTATAATTATTATGCACACCTCTAGTTTGTATCCTTATTAACCATTTTTCCTCAACTGAAATCATCTTCACCTATTTCAGTTCTGTATTATCACTGTAGAGATGAAGTAGTTTGAAGACCCAGATCTATAATCTACATTTAACTGATTCATGAGGTGAACACAACTATCCCTAGGCTAGACAAGCTTCATGTGGGCTATACTATTAATACTTTCATTTATCATTAGTTTCTCATGTTCCTATTACTTCCACACTGGCTATCATCTAATGAGCAGCATGTTGCCCTAATGATCAATCAATAATCTTTTCTGCTCTAAATCATGTCAGAGCTTGATATATGCCTCAAATAAAAGAAGTAAGAAAGTGTAGACTAAGGAATATATCACAACAAGCTAGTCAGCAAAGCATGAACAGACCAATCAGTGACTGCATGGAAATTCTTATATACATCTCTGAACTGTTCACAATCAGTCTAAAGCTAATTCCAAATTAACATTGTAAATGCAGCTTTGCAGTTTGGTTAAGAACCAGCACTTTTTAGCAGAGAGGGATAAAGATCTTGTAAAACTGTAATTATCATGATTCCAAAGCATTGAGCCATGGTAGATACAGTGGTTTCAAACTGTATTAATTCATTAGGGTAGATGCACCCAGATGCTAGCAATCTGGGACAGGGCCAGACAGTACTCTCTGTGAGCCTCTCTGGTTGTTGCAGCACTTGGTCATGCCTCATGCTGGCCATTAAAGCATAACCTTTATGAACCTGTTCAGGTGTTAAGTTCAGCTGGGAAGGCCCTCCTCTCGATCTCGCCTCCATCACAAGTGAGGTTGGTGGGGACGAGGGAGAGGGCCTTCTCTGTAGTGCTCCCCCGGCTCTGGAACACCCTCCCAAGGGATATCTGACAAGCAACCATCTTCATGACTTTCAAGAAGGATCTAAAGACTTGGCTATTTAGGCAGGCTTTTGAAAATTATTTTAATGGGTGTATGTGTATACCCATTAAAATGTGTTCCCTTAGTGTGGATGAGGTCTTTGTTTATGTGGATTCACTTGGGCACTTTGTCTTTTAATTAATTTGTCTAATCTGTTGGAACCATTATGTTTTAAATGGTTTTAATTAAGGTTTTACTGTTTATTGTTTAATTGTTATATTGTTTTATTGGTTTTCCTTATTAATTTGTCATATACTTTGTATATATTGTTTATTGTGTTTTGAACTGCCCCACGTCCTTTCAGGTAGATAGGGTGAGATAGAAATAAAGGTTGTTGTTGTTAATGGTGGAGTCATTCCAGGTTCTCCTCAGTGCATCTCTGGCAATGTTGGAACCTCATCACACTATAGCATGGATTCACTTTAAATCCAGATTCTCCCTCCTGTAGAATTCTGGGGCTTGTAGTTTAGGGAAGGGCATTTAAACTGCTCAGCCAGAGGTCCTGGACCTCACTAGACAGCAACCCCCAGAATGCTGCAGGAGGTTTTAAAGTGGGTCCATGCTCTAGTGTGGTAAGGCTGTTGGAAGAAGAGACTTCCTCTCAACCCACTTTATTGATATGTGACAGGGTGCATGGGGAATTCAGCTTGGGTAAGTCTCTTTGATTTAGGAGTCACAGTTAGTGATAATGTGGAGAAACAAAGGCTGAGCATAAAAGTGCTGAGCATTTAGGGGCACCTTTTAGGCACAAGGAGACTCATAGCTGTTCTTCATGTCCCTGAGATAAGTGTTTGTTGACTTAATTTGAATAATGTTGTGTTACAACAAAATGCTAGTTCCTGTACATTAGAAATGAGTGTTACATATTTTTTTCAATATAGTGATTTCATGTCATTTTAGTGATATTACTTTCTGCACTGCACTACATTCATATAGTGCTGTGATGTAATTTTTTAAAAAAACATTGTTCAGAAGTTTTGATTTTTTTCTTCATCTCCTGACCTCATATAAAATGCCATATTGTAGAATTTACTATATATACTTTGCACATGCACATTTTCACCTAAAGCCCTAAAATGATACCATGTGATTCTTATGATGGAGGAAAGGTGGTCTACACTGATAACATAGCAGTAGCAGCAGTAAAAAGAAGCAAGCAAGTAAGGAATGAGCTATGTGTTTCCATTATCCTTAGAAACTGTTCAAAATTTCTCTTTCCCTTCTTTCCTGCCATGCCCACATCTTTATTTCCAGCTCTTCTAGTGTTACACTGTTTTAGCACTGTGATAATCTAAAGTTTTTTTTCAAATCCAAGGAGTCTGACTTCAAGAAGCCTTGAACTTGATTTCATTTACCTAATTTCTTTGCCTCTTACTTTTCTTTCTTGCAGGCTTGTTCACATAAAGAAGTGATACAAAGATATCCACCATGGGGAAGACATACCTTCATTTACTGTGTGTGTTAACAACAGAAAGCAGTTGAAAAGAGACTAAATGACACATCGATAGCAACAGAACTATTTGTCAGGGGTGGGGAGTTCTGGCGAGGAAACAAAGAAGAGGCTAAAGAAGTCGTAATGTGACAAATTGTCTAATACATTTGTTCTTGCTTCAGTTGTTCTAGCAGCAGCTTCCTGTCATTGGATGGCCCTGTCATTAGGTAGAGTGATGCAGCTACTTCAGGCTACAGATTAAGGCCCTTTAAAGAACATATGTATTTTTATTACTAGATTTATACTCTGACCTTTCTCCTGAAATGGGATGCATAGGGGTATATAAGAGATATTATTTACATAAGAATGCCCTAATATGAAAAGGAACTGAAGAGGCACTTATAGAATGTGTATCAGTTTTTTACTGTCATGAAAAGGCAACAAGATATTTGTTAAATCTGCCTCATAGTTGTACTTCCACAGAAGGTGAAAGTTGCTTGCAAAGTTTTCTGGCAAACCTTTCTGTGTTTTAGGTTTGGGACATAAGACTTTATCTCGTGACCTCACTATTCCACTATAGTTGTGTGCACAACCATTAATAGCAGTTAAAGTTTTTATATTGTAACTGTGTTTTGGTTGCATTGAATTTTGCCTTGTGAACCGCCTTGAGTCACCGGAAGGCTGAGAGGGGAGGTGTGGTGAAGTGTGAGTTTTAATCTACAGTTACATATAATAATAGATAGGTGATTAAAAGGGTAAGTATTTAAACTAGCATTGAGAATCAGGAAGGTTTTGGCTTTTAGCCTGTGTAGTTTAGACAGGTCAAGTTGACTTATTTATATTATTAGTCAGTGCAAGAGTAAAAGGGGGAGAGAACCCTAATAAGAATCTTTACTGCAGCAGAAATAACATAAGGAAAATATAAGCTTGTACCTGAAGTAATCTGTTAAAAAAAGAAACACATTTTGAAACCTGTTTAGTGGAAGGAACAGACCTCTTAAGAGTTGGTTTATGGAGTGTTAAAAATGTAACCTCTGAATATATGTGCCTCTAAGAGTTAAGATACATTGAGACCATCAAGCTTCTTCTATACTTCAATAAACTTGTTACAGTTTTTTCCAAAGCCAAGTCTCTATACAAATACTTTCAAGTTAAGCCATGCCAGACATTGAAGAAAGACCAAATCAACATTACAAGCTTTTACTTGTGTTATCAATTTATTAAGTCCTTACAAAGAGATGGCCTCTTTACAGGCGGTATACAAATACTGTAAATAAATAAATAAATAATGCATACTGAGGCTGTTGCTTGGCCTTCAACCCATGAGAAACTAGCATTTAAAATGTTGGTTTTGCTCATGTTTTAGGCCTACGTGGAAGCAACCTTGGTTGCAGTTCACACCATTTTGGCCTTCCAAGACAAGAAAGTCTTTGTCTGCCAGTGAAAAAACAACAAAGAGGGGCAGGTCAAACCATTTACATGCAGGAAAAATACCTGTACCTTTTCCCACACTGCAGTGAATTCATGGAAGATGGGAGCAAAACAAATAGGTGGATCCCATTCCCTGTCTTCCCAGTTCTTACATGCCACATGAAAAAAGTTTTGATGTCACTTTCCCTTAAAACATTAGTATGGCCTCTATGTTTGCTTGCTTTTTACTTTTTATAGCCTGAATTTTTTTCTTGTAGATGAGCCTTCTAACACACAGGCTCTTAGAAAAAAGGAAAGCTTTACCTCTTGATTGTCATTGTTGAAAGTGACATTAGAACAATTACATAAAAGGTAATTCTTACTTCAAGTAAGCCTTTTGAAATTACCAAGTACACACTAAAAGGGGAAAAAATGACAACATATAATTGCATGTAATACTCTGGTAGTCCTATTAGGCTTAATACTCAGGGGAAAATACAGTCCTGCATTAATCAGAGATTTGTGTCCTGAATAAGACAAGTAAGGAATCATTGGAATACTATGATTTATAATTTACCACTTCTATGCCTTGATAGAAAACAAAATGCAGCACCATATAGGTGAATCCAGGATTTAATGCAGACCCGAGGACCCTAAACAATGGGAATGTGCCTCCAACTGTCAGTTCTACATCTGACTTTAATAATATTTGGTGATGCAGCAGTGCATCAGCTATTCCGTAAAAGCAGAAATAGCTGCCTAGTCTAATAAATGGCCAGTCCTTTTTATTTCTTCCTTTAGGCTAAAAGAGGTGAATGGGAATGATTATTTTAATTACACAGAGCCTTGAAGGTCTCCAGCAAAAGATCCTGAATACATAAATAAATAAATTGTTGATTTCAAAAACATCTTTAGGGGAAACTTCCATGTTTGATATATGCATCTTGGGAATTTTTGAGAAGAAACAAAAAAATCCTCATTTTCTCTTTCTTTTATGCACTGAACAAAACTAATGCTATATTTATCCACCAAAATGCTACTGTAAATTACTTCTACAATAACTATAGATTAACTTCTATTTGTAAGTTCTTTGTAATTTTTACTTTGGCTCTTATGCACACTATATTCATACCTATTTTATGTATCTTTTTATGGCATTCCATTATATTTCACTTGACATCCTAAATATCTGTCTATTAGGCCTGGGTAACAACGCAAAAATTTGTTTCTAAAATCGATTTGTAATTGGGGTGTTTTTTTGTTTCGATATTTAAAATAATTACAAAATTTTCCCTTAAAAAAGTTCGGTATTTACGAAATTTCGTAAATATTTACGAATCGATTCGTTAAGATGGCGGACCCCCCGCGCATGCGCAAAATCACTTCTGAAGCTTCGTTATTGGCGCGGGGTCAATTCGTTAAGGTTATAACGAATCGATTCGTTAAAACGGCGGACGCGATTGCGCTTGCGCAAAAACGACTTCCGAAACTTCGTTTTTAAATACGAATCGATTCGCTATTAAAATAATAACGAATCGATTCGTAAAATGGCGGACGCGATTGCGCAATGCTAAATGCTCTATAAACAAAATCATTTCATAAAATAAATCAAATAAAATAATCAAATAGAACAAGATATTAAGATATTAAATAAAAAAGTAATAAGATAAAGTATCCAAAACTGAGTCAATTTAATAATATAATGAAATAAAAAATAATATAATAATAAAATTTAAATAAATAAAATATAAATAAATAATAATAATAATAATAATAAATAATAACAATAAATAATATAAAATTATATAATATATAAAATATAATATAATATAATATAATAATATATTATTATATATATAAATGAAATAAATAATAATATAAATATTTAAATAAAATATAATTAAATTTATAAAATATTTATAAAATATATTATAAATAATAATAAAAATAATATATAAAATTAAATTATAAATTATTAATATATAAAAATAATGTTATTATAAAAACTTAGAAAGTAAATATAAGAAATAAATAAAGAAAAAGTAACAAAAAGTAACAGAAATTGCACTTTGAAAAAACTCTGAAAATTATCTGGGAAGTATTGCATACATACTAATTTCTGTAGCAGTATTGCAAGTTAAGTAAGAAGGACCAACTTCACATTTGGGGGTGGTGTATCTTAATGTGCATCCTTAGCCCTGTTGTGGCAAGATGCCTCATATCTTTTCCTCTGCTGACGCTCACACCGCAATGCCTGCAAACTGCCAAAGTGGCCCTCTCATTATGGACGTCGTAATGATCCCATAGGAGCGATCTCGGCCTACCCCTACTAGGCACTTCAGATGTACTCATGCTCGTGTTTGGACTGTCGGTGTTTGTGGAAGGGAGTATAATCGTTGGTTGTTTCTGTAGCTCGCCCTCCATCAGCATGCAGTCCTCTTGATCACTAATTCCTGTGGTGGAAGCACATTCCATCTTGTCTTCCTCCCATTCCTCTGACACGTCCGGCTCCTCGCCCTCCTCTTCATAACAAGTAATATCAGAGGTACTTGGAACGACATCAGGATCTGAACGTAGAGTCTTTCGAACTGATGAAGAAGAAGGTTCTGCCATCTCACAGCTGGTTGAAGCATCTGTGGGTGTTTCAATAACCATCTCGTTGGATGAATGTTCCCTTCTTGTCAATGTGTTCATCTTCAGTCCCCTGCCTTTCTTCGGTATTCGCGATAGCACTTGGCCCTTGTGACTAGAAAAGCCGGGAAGGAAGCGTTTCATCACACTGGTTGGAACTACACAAATAATGAGCAAAAGGAGCGCACTGGTTGGAACTACACAAATGAGCGAGCAGTGTATTATAGCACTTTGTGTTGGCAAAAGGAGCGCACTGGTTGGAACTACACAAATGAGCGAGCACTGTATTATAGCACTTTGTGTTGGCAAAAGGAGCGCAATGGTTGGAACTACACAAATGAGCGAGCACTGTATTATAGCACTTTCTGTTGGCAAAAGGAGCGCACTGGTTGGAACTACACAAATGAGCGAGCAGTGTATGTAGCACTTTGTGTTGGCAAAAGGAGCGCACTGGTTGGAACTACACAAATGAGCGAGCACTGTATTATAGCACTTTGTGTTGGCAAAAGGAGCGCACTGGTTGGAACTACACAAATGAGCGAGCAGTGTATGTAGCAGTTTGTGTTGGCAAAAGGAGCGCACTGGTTGGAACTACACAAATGAGCGAGCACTGTATTATAGCACTTTGTGTTGGCAAAAGGAGCGCACTGGTTGGAACTACACAAATGAGCGAGCAGTGTATGTAGCACTTTGGTTGGCAAAAGGAGCGCACTGGTTGGAACTACACAAATGATGAGCGAAGCACTGTATTATAGCACTTTGTGTGCAAAAGGAGCGCACTGGTTGGAACTACACAAATGACAAAAGCACACACAGCCACCGAAGACTCTTTTATTTTTTTAGAATATTTTGTATTTTTTTTAAGAATAAAAGACAGGTATTTTTAGAAAATATTCAGAAATGGAAAATTAACCAAAAGCTGGCCCTGATGTGGACCAAACACAGCCACGAGACAGGGCAAACGAGAGCACACAGCAACAGAAGAGTCTTTTCTTTTTTTAGAATTTTTTTAAGAATAAAAGACAGGTATTTTTAGAAAATATTCAGAAATGGAAACTTAACCAAATGCTCTCCCCGCAGTGGAGCCAACGGCCACAAGACGGGGGAAACGCACACACAGGCAGGCACACAAGATTCTTTTCTTTTTTAGAATATTTTTTGATTATTTTTGAGAATAAAAGACAGGTATTTTTAGAAAATATTCAGAAATGGAAAATTAACCAAAAA